AGAGAATGTAGTCTTGGCAATTTCATTGAGAAAGAAACTACGAAAGCAAAAGGGCAACATAACAGAACGGAGCCAAATAAATGATAAAACTAAACATATTTACATTTTCTCTTGCAATTTACCCAAGGAACTATTCAGAGTGTGCTTGAAGTAGACTTACTGAATGACCGTTTGCTTTGTCGAAGGACTCACTGTTGATTTGCTCCACATTTTCCGAATGCGTATCGATGTTGTTTAAATTGGACTCATTTACATGATAATCTATCAGCTGCAGAGAGAAAGTCCCAAATAAAAATTGGCAAAGAACTTGAGAAACAAATTGACTAAAATAAGATCCATGCTTACAGAGGCAGATTCTATGGAGACAATCCCGTTGATGTTTAGCACAACTTTTACTTTTATCTTCATATTCTCTACATGAGAGACCCTAAACGGTCCGATCTGAAAAGAAGAGCATTTTATAAAAAGAAGTACTAAGTAGAACAATGTCCAACGATGCTACCTATAGATGTTTAAGTGAGAATATAAAAGAGTACTCAAGTACTGATTGCAGATAGAGAAAGAACCCAATAAATCAAACCTTTTCTAATGTGGCACCTCCATCTCCCATTAACCAAAAGCAGTAAATAATGTCATCGTCTGACCTTAAGTTCATAAGAATCAGCTGGTAAACAATGTTCACAGTTCAAAGGGATTTAATTGGTTAACAATGTTGAAGATCCAAAGCTACACAGACTACTAAAGTTGCCATTATTTTGGATAAGCATGATGTGCACAATTCAGCTAGCCAAATGCGTCTGTGGTAGCAACCAATCCCAAAATTCAACCATTGAGTTATGTATCCTTTTCCAACTAAGGCAAAGCAGAGTGTGGTAATGGTCGCAAAATTATTTAAAGATAAATAGATAATCTTGTAAGTCAACTTAAACTAAAGGTTTGCACAGTCAGCAACCCCAACAGCTTCTCATGAACCATGCAGCTCATACCTTCTCAGGAAATAGTCATCCATGCATTCTATTCCTGGTATTTTCCCCTTTCCTTTGTTTTCTTTTTTTTCCTTTTTTTTTTTTTTTTTTGGNGGGGGCAGAGGCTGGGTTGGTATATGGTTGTCAATTCATTGCAGTAGTTAACAAGCACCTAGTTTGCTCAATTCTACCCCAGTTTTTCTGGTACTCCCAAATACAGTACCAAACAGTAAATGTTGAAATGATTGATGGTACAAACCTTAAAAGAGCTAATTCTTGGCGAGGCACCAGGAGGCAGCTCATTCTGATTCGAGTAGAAGGCTTCCATGTGAAATATCTCATTTCTGAAAGTAAGCATCTTCACACTTGGAAAAGCACTGCCTTTAGGAAACAACACGCCACCTGCCAATGAGCAGACAGGCCCTTGATCTGATGCAAATGCAATTGAGAATGGGAAGCAATCCTGCACCTGCAAACGAGAGGTGTACATATTTGGAATACTGTCAGTCAGAGGGAAATGTTGAGATAAAAGTTTGCCATGTTTATAGGTTGATCCAGAGAACTGTCCTATTTTTGTTTTGGTACGAGCAAGAGAAAGACCATAGCGCATAATTTAGTCTACATTTTTTTATTTTGCGATAAATGCAGCAATACCAAATCAATCATCTGACCAAATCCAGCAGCTTAAGTTAACTTTGCTTAATGTCTATACCCAGCACGCATTAACAAGATAGAGCCAAAAAATTAGAGTTTTTTTTCTACCCTCCAAATTTTGAAACCAAAAGTGGGGGCATGTATTAGCACATTCCTTTTTCATGAATCCAGCCTTAGTGTTTCCCGTCACTGACTTCATATAACGACCACTAGGTTACTGAAAATAAGATATTGATGAAGTTCATAAAATCAAAAACACCATCAATTGTCTCGAAGTCATAAATTTAAGATTGGCCTATGAGCACCAGAAGTGCATATACACGACGTTTCATGTATGAAAGTTACAGCACTACGATGAAGATTTTTAAGAACTGACATACAGGGAAAGGAAAGAACTCTTGAAGGTAGCTGCACTGAGTCTTTGATTTTCATTACTGGTCAATAAAATCACTTCTCCCTAACTAGGATTTTTCAGCACCTCGTAGCAAATCATAGAAATAATTCTGGATCTACCAGCCTTGTTCGTTAGTTAAGGCCCCATACCATGATCTAGCATTACGAAATGTAAAGTTTCAAAACGTATCATCTCAGGCCGCTATAATAGACGAGAAACAACATAATAACTGAATTTGGATTTTTAGAAGACAAGACCACCAATCCCCTTTTCTTACAAACATTAAAGAGTACAAACAAGGATTTCCTGGACACCGCATTCATAAAATGTGCCTCTAGAGCACACTGAAGTAAGATTACTTCAATTAAGAAAACATTTAAAAAGAAGCTAGAGGACAAACCTCATACTCTCTCACTCGGAAAGCTGGGCTAAGCATCGCACACTGAACTGCACAACCACGGGCCACGCACTCGCTTGCGTTCAACGTCCTTCCAGGCTCCTTCCGAAATATCGAGTTCAGAATCCTTGTAACCGCAGGTATCCGCGAACCTGACCCGACAAGCTCCACTGTGTGAATCTTATCCACCGTCAATCCAGATTCGTGCAAAACCTTACGACAAGGAATCCCAATCCTCTCAAGCAACCCGGATGCCAGCCTCTCGAACTCGTCCCTCTTAATATATCCCTTAACATCTTTTTCATCCATCAAGCACTCAATGTTGAGAGGGGCCTCTGGGTTCGCACTCAGGACCTTCTTCAGCTTCTCACACGCGGCCCTCAGCCTTATGGAAGCCCTTGTACTCGAACAAACGTCTATTTTGTACTGTTCCAAAAATTGAGCAGCAAAATGTCGGAATAAAACCTCATCAAAGTCCCGTCCTCCTAAATTGCTGTCGAAAGCATGGGACAGCACCTTCATGTGCCCAGGCTCGAACGAGATCACAGCAACCTGGGTATCACTGTGGCCTATATCAACAAAGACAACATTCGTTGGGCCCCTCCCAGAAAAATCCGTCTTGTATATACCGTATCCAAGCCCGATAGCCGTGCATTCATGCATCAGCCTCATGGGCTTCAGGCCCACAATCTCAGCCGCTTGCAGATACGCGCGCCTCTGGTTGGCCGTGTAGTAAGAAGGAACACCGATCACACAGTTCTCGACCTGTGTCTCCAGATTTTTCTCCGTGAGCTGCTTTAGATGAGATAAAAGCATAGCCAGAATCTGAACAGGGGTGAAAGTCTGTTTTTCACCCAGGTACTGAAGGTGGATCAGGATTCCACCGTCAGGCCCTGCGGATGTCTCAAACGGGAAAAGCTGGAGGTCTTCCTGCACCGAGGAATCATTAAATTCACGGCCGATTAGCCGTTTGACCTGGGACACAGTTGACTTTGGGTGCATGGTAGCTGATGCGGCCCCAGCTGAGCCTATAAACCTCTGATTTTCACCAAACGAGATGATTGCCGGATTTTCCCGTTTAGACTCATCGTTCAACAGGACATCTACACCACGTTGCTTGGCAACTGCTATCACGCAGTTCTCGTTCCCGATGTCAAAACCCACGACACTCATCCTGGAGCTGATACGCGCCCAAAAACACAGGGAAGTTCTGAATTTTGACTGATTCACATACGATTTTCACAATCCTGCAAACAAGTGGGCTATCAAACAGGAATTTACGAGATTAAGTAGGGGAATGAGGGACCAGATTATTTCAAACTCGATATGATTAGCTCGTGCCTGTGCTCGTGGATTAAAGCAAATAAAACACACAACTTCCGAAAAACGAATTGACTAAAGCAGGGTTTCAGTTTCCGTCATCATCAGCATAACTTCTTCGAGATAAAGAGGTGAAAATACGAGATTCGTACGTGCGAACAACAAAGGAAATGCCGCGTAAATCAACATGTCGAGAAGGTTCAAACCTGAAACATACCTCTTCTCTGACAAAACATCGCGAGGCGAAATGGAAACCCTAAAAGCTTGAAGCGGGTGGAAAATGGGATGGACGATTGGGAAGCTCTCCGAAAGTTAATGCAAATCGGAGCGGACAATGTTCTGAAGAGAATATCCTTTTTTTTATGTATGATGATTTTTATGACTATAAATTGCGCTGAATATATATATATATATACATGGTAGACAACAAACTTGGATGTCATAAAATTCTAAAATTTTTATAGAAAATGCTCCCCACGAGAGAATAACGTGGTCTCAGGTTTATATCCTCGTAGTCGTAGCAATGTAATTTAATTTTAATTTAACATAAATCTGACTTTTGAGGTCAATTTTCCTGATTAATTTAACATAACTTGGATGCCTATTATTGTTATGTTTCATCTAATGTATCATGATCCATTAGCAAATGTTAGGCATTTATAGGTCCTTCCTCTCTTGAGGCTGTGTGATGGACATTTGACCTAAAAAGATCACTTGCGTGTATGTATGACTGTTGAGAGAACCAAGTATTTGGCTATAATTAATGTGTTGTGATCTTCTACAAGTTTTTCTCTACGAGGTAAAGATTACTGCAGAAAACAATGATATAATGCAATTTATGTTCACAACACAACAATGTACAAATGAATATGGATGAGACCTTGATCTTGAGGTGCACAACCTGTATCAATGAATGATTGCCAAAACTTATCTACCATGAAGTGATTACCAGCAATACAAAGATTCAGCTTACAAGAACAGACATTGTATTAAACCTTTACAGAAGCATGTATTTTGTGGTATATATTCAAGCCAGCAATATTACAGCTCAATACAAGATCAG